GATACTCGTAAGTTGAAGAATTTTAGTTTCATTTAACATTTTCGTTATCGCACATTTTGCAAAAATTAAGTAAATCAAGGTCTAAATACATTTACTCGCTGCTTACTAGACATTTTTTCTGGAACCAGGCTGTCTCTATAGATACACCACAATCTTCCTGAAAATGTAGCGCTGTGCAAAGCACAGGATCGAGGAGAAATGGCATGTGACGCAAGGTGCACATGCACTCCACTACGGCTTGGTAGATACCTCAGCTACTATTTCTATGGAATGCAGAGCCAATGAGACCAGGGGTCCGCTTTATCGGAGATATCATGTTTAGGGTAGTTTTCTCTATAGCAGTGAGGTGTTTTGTGCAAAAAGCAGAAAAGAGAAGCCAACACTCTTTAAAACGCGGTACCAACTAGAGACCTAGTTTAACAGCAGTCCAGGCACGACTCCTTTCACTTCTTGAACAAAATTGTAAACTTCTGGACTAACAAAGAAGTCTGCTCAGCAATTGTTCAATTATTTTACAGAATAATAAGTATACCGACTGGACAGGATGTGATACCCTGATGTTACAAACCTCTTGCTTACAAAAAAATAGCGACAAGTAGGTTGACTCTGCACTTCATACGCAACGCCGTCATCAGTTCAAAAACGATTTTGTTCAGCACAAGTTAGATCCGCTGCAAGAAAGTTAGCTACGAACACGTACAATAGAGAAATTAAATAGGTCAAGTCAGTTCAACAGACCCATACAGTTAGTATAGGCATTATTTCCATTGCCTACCGGTAGTACCGCCCATCTGGCAATGCCGCCCCTCCCCGTCTGCAGAAGACTCGTAGAGACAGGCCCGCTCGCCGGTAAACTCAAGGCAGCAGAAAGAGTTCTATCATTCTAAATTTTAAAAGCAAATGTACGGGGAAATATGTCCAATACGTGCGTAGAGTTACCGGGGCTCGGAGCCTATAAATATATATACTAACATCAAAAAACTGAGTTATACCATCCCTTACTCCTTACAATCCTCAACCCCCACTTTTTAACACTTACAAATTTTTTTCTGAAAATGATCTCAAGCTTCTGAAATGTCAAGAAACGAAGTTTGAGCGGCTTTTTTGTGTGCTTTTGTCCTTAGCTTTACGGTCACGGCACCGGTTTTCAAAAACTACAAAGGTTCTTCGTCCGTGGCATACGATTAATGTAAATATTTCACTAAAATCGGAGGGGTAGTTAATCAGTTATTGACGGGCTAAGGATTAGCGGGCAGACAGACAGACAGAACGACGGGACCTGATGTGGATATAATGTCCTAATAACATCAAAATAAACATAATATAACCCTTGCCAAAATGTTTCGCGATTACAATACTTCTTCGCCTTTAGACCTGGAAAGTAAAAAACCAAAAGGGTTGGTATGTATAAATCTCGCAATAAAAATTCATGGAGCGTAACGCGTGCGTTGTTTGAATGGACGCCAGAGGGCCGAAGCCGACAAAGGCCGGCCGGCTGAAGTGTTTCTAATGTCAATTGACGACCTGCGGGCCATACTCGTAAAACAAAACTAACTCTTCTTCTTCTCGGCTTTTTTCTCGTCGCTTTAAGTGTTGGTTATCTTTATTATAGGCGGGAAGTGTCCATTGAAGATGTATGATTTGGATTTGGTCTTTTTAGGGTACGTTTACGTGATGTTCACATGATTGTTGATTTTCCGATGATGTTTATATTAATTATACTAGGTTTTCTTAAGGGTCTTGTATTAAAATGTCTAATCAGGAGCCTAGGCTTACTTGTTACCTATTAGTCTTGTGACCAAGTGTCGAAAAGACCTGTTTGGAGTGGGAATATACGAGTACCTTATATTACAGGGTGTCCAGTTGGAATGTTCACTTTTTGATTTAAGAAAAAAATAAAAACTTAATGTAAAGAAAATATTTATTACTATCAACATATTCGTAGATTTGGCGAGTTTTATTTCTTAAACATCATTCTCGTCGAATGTTGTCTTTAAGCTCCTCCAGTGCTCGTGAATTATTGGAATACACTTGTTTTGGCTCTAGATATCCCCACAAAAAAGAATCGTATGGTGTGAGGTCGGGTAATCCAGGAGGCCAGTGAATGTCTCCAAGCTTCGATATAACTTTTTGAGGTAAAAGTGCTTTCACCGTGTCCATCGATTTTCTGGAAGTATGGGCAAGTGGCCCTATCCTGTTGAAATCACGTGTTTCTGTCGAATCGACGTTCTGTTGAAAGCTTCCGTAGAGAACGCCGAGGATTTGCGATGACCGAATCACTTACTCGACGTACATTTTCTTCGGTTGATTCAGTAGGTGTGGGAACAGGAATGGGTTGACTAAGAGTAGAGCCTGTTTCACGGAAGTTCTTAATCCACTTTTTCAATAGGTTTTTACTTGGGACATCTCTTGGTCGGCGAATGTTGTATCGCGTACAAAATTTCCCAAGGGCAGCTGCGTAAGAATCACCACTCTTAAAGTAAGCCTCGATAGCAAGCACGTTGCGCTCTGGTCCAACGTTCCATTGTGACTATTTAGCCCGCACGCTGAACTCGTCGATGAAAACCTCTTCCCACTTCCTCGCGTGTACGGTTGCCGCGTTATTCAAATTTGAAATTTGAACTTTCCCATTGGACACCCTGTATATAGGGGCATTCTGTCAACCTTAGCGTAAAATTGACAATATATTCATAGTTTGCACACGCAATTTATCCTAGGTTTTCAATGCAAAATTGTCATTTTCCTCGCCCGTAGTTACAAAAATACGAAATTTCGCTGCACTAGCGCAGTTCGGGAGGTTGGTTTCGGGTATTTCTAAAATTTCCGAAAGCGCTATTTAAAGATCTCCTGTGGCTTACAGGCAATTTAAGCGAAAAGCTCATGGAACAAGTTAGATTTAAATCCAGATTGCAAAATTGGCCAGAAGCTTTGGACTCATTTTTTCAGACTTCATCCCCACCGAATGTATGTAAATTCTGAAACTGAAAAAAACTGTAGGTATCTGAAAGTCTTATACTATCACAATTCTCGCACCTTCCACCTAGATACCATAGCAGCTTCGATGCAGCAGGTATCACAAAAATTCAATTTGCGCAACATTATTTTGTTAGGTTTGTTCATGACATCAGAAAATATGATCACATTTTGGAAAATTTTTAGAAACTAAATGCATCAATTTGAGAGACAGATTCGAAATTTCAGCGATTACATTTTATCATAAAATTATTAAAATTTATACATCAAAAAAAATATGTTCTGACACAAGTGGACAATATTAGATGCAAGCTTCTTATATCCCCCGTCCTACTCATCACTATAAATGAAAGTAGCTTCAGATACCAAATAGCTGAGGAATATAATAGCATGCATCAAGTGTTTGTGGGGCTGGGAGGCCTGACACTTAGAACACAATGAATCATACATTTTTAAAACCAGCAAGAATAAAATTAATACGATTTATATATTCAATTTTCATTAGTCTCTATCTTTTATTTATAATCTTCGTAATTTTGAGTACTGGAGAAGCTCGACATGTGAACTCCGCCTTTTGGTTAACCCTTTCAGGACCGACGCGTCCACGAAAAAACATGCCTGCTGGACCAGAATTTTTGGATGGTCATATGACCCGGTGACGGCTATATCCGACGAAATCATAAAACAGTATAATTCTTTTTTTATTCTATTAAAGCATACTTAGAAACACAAACAGCAGTAAATAGAACTAAAGAAGGTCAATCAAAACTAAAATTGAAGCCCTAGAACTAATACCTAAAGACAAAAAAACAAAAATAAAAGCACATCGTATCAAAAAAACTCGAAAGACATTTTACTTCAGAAGTGATTTTCTTCATGATATATTTTGAAGCATGGAGCTGGACACAACCCAACATCGCATTCCTTACACATATATTTGGTTTCTTTTCTTTTCTTAGGTTTTTGTTTGCTGTGGGAACATACATAGCATCTCCTGTAGGCCGATTTGCTGCCTTCCTTGACTGTAACCAGATCGGGAAAATGTCTTTGTGTGAATCTTTTATTTCCAAGATCCAGGTGAACAGATCTCGAAGCTGTTTTTTGAAACCTGCAAAAATCGAAATATAGAACTATTTTTAGACAAAAAGAAATATATATATATATATATATATATATTATTTATATATATATATATATTATTTATATATATATATATATATATATATTATTTATATATATATATATATATATATATATATATATATAGAGGAAAGTGCCCGAATATCGCACAGATGCTCAATATCGCACACTGGGCATTTTCTCTTACTAATACGATTAGACCATACTAGTCTGTAGTTTTAGTTTCATGGCAGCGACAAAAGATGTCACATTAAGTCCAGTAGGTCTGAGAACAAGTAGATGGCATTAGCGCTGAAAAACGTGCAGTTGGTAGAACACGAGTTTTTAACGGTGTCCGATATTTGTGGATTTTTTTTTGTAAAAGCGTTAAGTGAAAAAATGAAATTTCTCTGTACCTGTTATTTAAAAACTGTCATCTTCATTTTATTTCATTGAGAATATGAGATAACTTTTTACAAATATTGTTTTTCATGACTCTAACCTAAAAGTAACATGTGCCCTAATATCGCACAACAAGGGGGTCCTAATATCGCAGTGTACGATATTAGGTACCCTCAAAGAATAAAAAAGTAACAATTTGTTTTTATTCCAGATAAAATGAATTCTCAAAACAAACGGAAAAAATGGCTTAAGGAATCAATGTTGGCTGCAGTAAAAGCTATTAAAAATAATGAAATGGGGTATCTGAAAGCATCAAAAATATTTAATGTCCCCAAAAGTACATTAAAGGATTATATAAAAAATACAAATAAAACTCCGGAGGAGTTGATTAGTATGAGCATGGGCAGAAAGACGACACTACCAGAAGAAATGGAAACCCAATTGGTAACATACTGTTTAGAAATGGACAAACGTTTCTATGGTTTGACTTCTTCAGACGTACGAAGATGGCATTTCAACTTGCATTGAGAAATAATATACCTAATCCATTTTCACGTGAAAAAGGTGTAGCTGGAAAAAAATGGCTTAGAAGATTTCTTGACCGACATCCCAAATTGGCATTCAGAAAACCACAGAGCATTTCTTCTGCAAGGATTAAAGGATTTACTCCAGAGAACGTGAAGATATTTTATGATAAGAAGGAAGTATCCGTTAATGGGTTCAGGAAAAGTGGCATTTTTCCTTTCAACCCATTTATTGTCCATGATCACGACTTTGCCATTCACAGACAACATGAAGCTACACCTCCACCTTCAACAGAGAATGATAACACTCCAGATCCAGAACAAATTACACCACCACACCATGTCTACATAGGTCCTGAAAGCATAATTCCACTACCATCAGCCAGTGGAGCATATAAAACAGTCTCAAATAATAAGCCCAGAACAGGTTCAGCAAAATTAATAACCAGTACACCATATAAGGAGGATTTAGAAAAAAGTGTTATTATAGTATAATTAAATAAAAAAAAGGCTGTAAAAAAGTATGTATTGTCTTCAAACTATGGAGCTGGTCCGTCCAACATAGAAAACTTAACAAAGAGAAGTGAAATAAATATTGCAAGAGTTAAGAGCATTAAGACAAAGAAACCAATAAAAAAAACGAAATCTTTGGCACAGAAATCTGCTTGTTCGAATAACACGAATTCAAACAAAGGTAACAGGAGCCGAAAAGAAGAAAGTGATAGTGAGTCTAGTGAGTCGGACATAAATATGGAATTGGATGATGATTCGGACATAAATTGCAGTTCCGAAAATGAAGATAATGACGCAGAATGTATGTTTTGTTTTATACTGTACTCAGAGGATACCAGAGGCGAAAAGTGGATAAGATGTTGCCAGTGTCTTAGATGGACCCATGAAGAATGTTCAAATTCGGACAAAAATAAGAATTTTGTTTGTGATTTCTGTTTGTCTGGATGAGGGTCCTAATACCGTCCACCGAAAAGTTTCCCAATATCGCATATGCGATATTACGTTACCATATTAAAATGTAAAAAAACTGTAACATTTTTGCTTTTTTCTATGTATTAAGAGATTTTGTTTCTAAACATATTTTTGATCCATGATGTGTTTTATTAATAATCAAGCTATATTTTCACCTTGATATCGCAGCTTAAAATTATTTTTCTTCCAAGGTACAGGTTGACAAAAAAAAGTGTGCGATATTCGGGCACTTTCCTCTATATATATAAATAATATATATATATATATATAAATAATATATATATATATATATGCATTTTGTCTTATACACCTCCGAAATGCACTATGCTCTATACGAATACGCCTCCAAAATCGGAGGCGAATTGGAAAATTCGGAGGCCAAAACGTATCGACGTGTATAACATGTTTAATCGTCGTGTGACGTATCAAAACACATTTTCCCAAATTTTTCGGTGGAGGCCAATTCGTCATGTGCACATATACAGTTATACAATTCAGTTCAGGAATTTTTTAATAGATGGCACTCAAGTCTTATACACTTATACACGACATATTGTGGGCTTTACCACTTTACCTCCATGCATTCTTCAGTCAATGCGCCTCCGAAATTTGGCAACATTACATGGAGGCGAATTGGATGATCTAATGGCATGGAGTTGAATTGGACGGTTTATATATACTCATGTATATTCGGTGTCTCATATGTATAAGAAAGCGAAAATTTAGTTTTGACAGTTCAAGAATTCGCAGTTTGTGATAGATTTTTTTAAATTCTAATAAAGAAGATAAATAAAAGTAAAATTCACATTCGCATGACTTTTTCCCTCTACATGATGACTTAATTAGATTTTTGATCCGACGATTCGTTCATTCGTAATTATAATCAAATGACGTTGATGATGGTTTTTCTCATCCGAAATATCGAATAAATGTAAAGAGCGATATGTAGTTGGATTTTGAATTAAAAGGTTGCCGTGAAACGAAACGTCAGATTGACAATCTAATAACATCAGCTTGTACAGCAGAAAAAGTAGCAAGGGGAATGTGAAACATTTACTGTCATATATTATCAAATATAATCAGACGAAAATAAGAACGGAATCGTGGAAATTCTGTTAACTTGGATTATTAAAAAAGCACAACTAAACAAAAATTTTATTTATTTTTAAATAAACAAAAATAAAATATTTTGAGAAAGCACAGTTTCCTAATATTTTAAACAAAGTTTCTGCATTATTAAAGAAACATTTTGAAATAAATTGATTTATTCTGTTTAATGGTGAAATGAAATTGTGCTTTTTCCAAAATCCAGGTAACTAGAACTTCACGGTTTTGGTTCCGAATTTTATAAATACCGATACAATTGCTTATATCTCAAATATCTTTTGATCAGTACCTCACAACATAAAACCTATAGGTTTTAAAAACAATTGCACAAACTAAAAAATTAGCAAGGAAAGAATAGTTTTTCGAGTGTCTGAAAATTATAAATAAGATAGATGTCAGAATGTGACATAAAACACTGGATGACATAATGAACATTATCTCAAAACGAATCTTTATTATACAAGATGATGTAATTCTGAATAAGAATTTCTTTATTTTTAAATGTAATGACGTCGCAAAGAACTGGTAGTTTGAAAGAAATTTCCAACACAACTTAAATTTTTGTAGTCAGATTTACTTCTAAAATTCACAAACTCTGTGGATGAAAAAGCACGTCTTCAAGAAAAATGTACTGTTTAGTTCAACTATTTATCTAGTTTACACACAACTTTGACAACATTTTGAAAAATTTAGTGGACCAGAATTTGTTGTAGTAGATTGAATGGCTTCTGTATATTCAGTGAAAAAATGACAAAATAATAATAAAAATCTTCGACGCTTTGTACTCTTGCATTTATAGAAGCTTTTTTTATATCAGCTCACAGATTTTTCTACATATCCTTAAAACACAACTCAGAGCAACCAGTGATCTGTATAAGATACCTTTGAAAAACAAATATTTTTATATTGCCGGATACAGTGTCACACATAAAGTTAGAATCATATGGGATTTTTTTTTTCTTAAACTATTTAGAAAGAATTTGATTTCGCGGTTAGTTTTTGCTAAATGATGCCAAATAACATGCATATGAGCAATTACGTGACCATTCTTCATAGTCAAAATTGAGGATTCTTTGTTCAAATCTCAAAAACCCAACTCTCTTCTCAAAATTTCGGGAAATGCTAAAGGAAAAAGTTGTTTGTCTTTCAATTCTTTATTTACATCCGAATTTTCAACTGTCTAATACAAATTCCAAATTTATTTCACATTTGTGAATTTTTCAAATTTCACCAAAGCTCAAAAAAATATATACTACTGACTGAACAAAGCTTCACTTATTTCTATAGATATTATAGACAAAAGTTTTCACGCGAACCCAGTCTTTGTCATGGAATATCTCGGGATACTTTCCTATTAACTGCATGCATTCATTCTTTTTGGGGGCCTTTTTTGTGCTAATGTGGGACTTGAAATGTTTTTTCACTAGAAGAGCCTGTTCAGAAGTCCAGAATGTCCTCCCTGATATTTTCTTCTTCGATACTGGTCGACTTTCTTCTTCCGGGATTGCTTAAAGTAAGTTATTAATAAATATCAACATTCTGTTATTCTAATAGATGGGAGGGATGGTCATTTAGTGTTTGAATCGAATTGTATTTTAAAAGCAAAAAATCTAATAAGAGGTAATTAGTGTCGTTTCTAGAGTGAATGTTCGTTGTACTAAACTCTTGAAACATTTTTTCTTTCCTATCCATGTACTAATTGGTACTTGATATGCGATATTAAAAAAACATGTTTTTTTATTCTGAAAGTTTTCAACAGCTTGAGAATGGCTCTGCGTTTAATAAATTGATATTCAATATTACTATTAAAAGTTATACGTACGATTTACATCAAGGACGTTTAAATACACTGACTAAATGAGTCAAAGGGTATATAAACTTGCATTGCTTTTCTTCAGTAGAACGATCAGAAATTGCTTTGGCCAAAAGGGGCATGAATATAGTATTTTTGTTAAGGTTAAGTAGAATAGCAATATATGGCTAAACTTCGCCGATTTGTAATATAATTACAAATAAAGTCCTGTTATTATTATTATTATTATTATTATTATTATTATTATTATTATTATTATTATTATTATTATTATTATTATTATTAATAGAAATACTTATTAATAATTTCATACTATCGATAATAAATATTTTTATAAGATCTACGCGGAAAGAGAATTAAATTACTAAAATAGCTGCAATTTTATTTTTATCAATTGATACGTTTTGCCGCATACATTTAAGCTTTGCAGAAACAGCCATATTTACTGATCACTTTTTGACTTTTCACTGATTACCTTGAAATGCCGTACAGTCAGATTCATTTGCATCTAGGAAATCGTTATCTTCATTATCTGATTCTTCTTCAGCAAATTCACTCATTGGATTAATATTAATTTCATTTAGCGACTTTCCTTTATACTTGTCAACGCCCTTTTCCATTAACATTAGGAGTTTGGAAATTTTTGCGGTTTGGTACACATCTTGTGGCAGCCTAGAAAACAAAGTACTTAAAGAGTGAAAAATATGCAGAGTGTCACTAAATTGTTACTCAAAATTTCAAACACAAATCGAACTTCAAAAAATAGTTAAAACATCTCCTATGAACAATGGACCCGGAAATGTTTAGTTTCCAAGATAGAGAATGGTAAAGTTGAAAATTGAAATTCGAATTTTTTTGAATTTTATAAACATTTCTCAATGTATTACTTTTAAAATTGGTCCAGAGGAAATTTTTCAACTACATATTTTCTGATTTATTTGTAGGTAAACTTTTAAATACTAATTTAGCGACATCCTGTATATATTCATTTGAAATTCATATTGGTCTTGATCCAGGAAAAAGGAAACGTCAATTTATTAAGCATAAGTAAAGTTTGTTACATCTGAGATAAAAATCATGACATCAAATAAAATTTTTTTCATTGTCGGTTTTTTCAATTCAAAGTGAATCCTATGCCGATCTTCAATTGCTATCGAGAAATGGGCGTCTGAATTTGATACTTTAACGCATTGATATATTTAGACTAATCAAGTTAGATCAAAATGGTTGCCACTTTCTTATAGCAAGATCCATTACCTATCCGATACCATTAGTCATAAATAGTAGGAAAAAGCTGACCACCAGGTGAAATTCAGAATAAGTATTGTTGGATGTTAAGAAAAAAGTGGAAGTACTTTGACTTGATCTTTTTAAACGCCACAAGATCACAAAGTTAAAAATTGTGAATAATTCGACACCATTTTCTCAAAATCATTTGAAAATCGGGAATGTAACTTAGAATTTCAGATGCTAATCAAAAATAGGGTCCCTATTTGAACACATTTCTACTGACATCCTTTTACTCTAAAATAAAAGTAACTGCGTAATATTTCTTCAGGGCATTTTTACAATAACGAAAACTTGAATTTCAAATGAATGTATGCCGTAATTTATTGTAGGGAGAACTTACTTATAAAATTCATTGTGGGTTTTTTCAGTATGTCCCATGAAGTGGGCGAATTGTTCACTCTCTTCCTTACTAAGGTTAAGAATTTGCATTACCGTTGCAATTTGCTTCCGTAATCTGTTAGAAGATATTTGTTTGGGAAATTCTAGATCAGCTTCTTGGGCAAATTTCCGTATAATAACATCCCCTCTTGTCCACTTCGAAGTTCCAGGACACCCAAATAAATATGGATTATTTTCGGGTACTAAGTGATGTTCTTGGCGGATTTTAACAAAGAAATCTATATAGGTTTGTAATGTTTGAGGGAATAGAATAGCTATGGGTCTACTACCTTTTCCACCTGTCACAATGCGTTTATAATATTTTGTTAGTATTTTTTCTGACTGAGACAATGCTTTTTCACACTCCTCTTGGTTAACCGGTTTCCAGTAGTTGATGTATGTACTTAATTTTGTGTATTGAACGTCGCCTATTCTTTTTCTGTTAAATAATATCGTTAAAATAAGAGAAGCCTGAATCAACTTTTTCATTTCTTTCCTATCAGTTGGATTGAGTGTTAGACAGGTCATTGCTTTATTTGCCACATTGGTAACGTAGTCTTTGAATTTCGTTATGTCCCGAGTTAAAGGTAACATTGCTGGTTTCTCCCATTGTTTTTCATTAAGGTCTTTAAATGCTAAGCTACTGATTTCCGTGGTCCACTGTGTATTTATGAGTTCTCGAAATCTGTTTATATCTCTTAATGCCTCTTCTTTATCAGAGATTCTTAAAGCTTCATCCTCTTTCAGGACCAGTCTTGTGAAAAGTTCACAAACTTGTTTTAATGAAGTTCCCAGATGTGCAGGTAGGCTAGGTGCACGATATGTCTTAGAATATTTTTCATATCCCCCTACATGTTTTGCGCATTCGACTGTCATATCAAACAATTTTGGTTTAAAAACGTCTTGTAGCCTGAATTTTGAGTTATTTGTCATTTTTCTGAATTGTATCAGAAACCGTGCCAATTCTCTCATTTTATTGGAACAAACTGTAACGAGTTGTTCTCTTCTGTGTTTTTTGAGATAGTTTTCTCCAAAGTTATAAATTAGGTAGTCGGATTTCGCAACCAAGGAGATATAATCAGGTTTCATTCGGTCAAAGACTTCCTCTTTTACTCTCAGTTTGTGCAAGTTACTATTATCATCAAAAGAACTAGCTATTAATGTTTGTGATGCTGCTAGTGAATTCATCTTACGAATTTCATTATTATTCGTGTGTTTCAGTATGCAGTTTTTTTATGACGTGACAAATACGATTTAGACAGCATTGCTTTGCAGCGTGAACATGGGTAATATTCTTTAGATTCTGTCTTATAATGATACTTAGGCTGTACATTGCCTTTAAGATACTCTGTAAAATTTGCTGCATTTCTCAACAAACTTAGAATTTTTTTCCTTTCAGGATGGCTTTTTGGAAAAGACATCATATCTTGTACCTCTTTAGTATCATCGTGGTTCCGCTCAAGATGCCTCTCAAAATTTGTTACATCTGTCTGACAAAACTTACACTTTGTTCTCTTTTTTTTCGTTGTTGTCTGAAAAATGTAAAAAAAAATTGATTTTTTTAAATTTCTGCAAAAATGCTGATAGAAATTGATAATGAAACAATACAAGTTTGAGGGAGAGGCTTGGCATTTTCGGTGATATCTTGATTTAAAAAATGAGCTGGCCTGGCTTTTTTAGCTACAATATTTTATGACTGATAAATTTTTTATATTTTCTGACAGTGAGAATCTTGTCAAAGATTTTTGATGACCAGCAGTTATTTACTAGAAACAACGATACAATGGTGCTAATTTGAGACTGACAAAATAATTTAATCATGCCTTTAGGAATAATAGGTGACTCAAGGTAAAGTTAAAAATATTAGTCTAGAATTTCAAAGCTTATAAATATTATATTCCCACAAAGTAAGAAAACGTCTAGCAAAATATTTTACTCTAGAATTAAAGATTTGATTATCAAGTTAATAAAATATCCGCAGTAATATTTTGTATATGATTATTTCCAAGTGAAGTTTTTATGGTTGAACTTACTTTAGTTTGAGTCTCCGATATTTGATTGAAATTGGACACATCAATGTTACTCAGGATAACAATTTTAGGGGACTTTTCATTTAGCTGTTCATCCTGAAAAAAATATTAGTAAGTTTCCATCAAATACAGATATACAGTATTTAACTGAAAATTTGCATCATAAAAGGGTAAAATCATTTTTAGAGAATCTGTTTATTACCAAAAAGAAAAAATACGAAACGTTTCACTTGTCTAAAAAATGGCGTCAAGTAAATTGACTTGGCACTTCCCTCGCACCGCCAAGTTTAAAGACTTTGGAAATTTAAGAACTGAAATATTGTCTTTCCAACAAAATGTACGGAGAAATCTAAGCATTGAATTACTGCTTTAGGATACGTACTAACGTCAAAAAACTGAACAAAACCCTCCCCCCACCCTCTACCGCCTTCTGCCACCCCCAACCCCCAATTTTTGACCCCTACAAAAAATTTTAAAAATCAGGAACCTCTGAAACGTCCAAAAACGAAGTTTGAGCGATTTTAATTTTTTTTGTTTTTTGCTTCTAGCACCGCCGCCACTGGATAACTATTCAAAAACTATAAAGGTTTTCCGTCCTTGACATAATAGTAACCTTGTGTCTTGTAATAATTTGGAAATTTAAACAGAAAATTTGGATTTTTTTTTTTAGAATCTGAATATATCTGAAATTATTCTGTTTTACTTCCCTCGCCAACTGGCGGGAAAGTATTGTAATCGCGAAAAAAATCGAAATTGAGATGTTATGTTTTTTGGATATCACATGACATGTACATCACGAAAAACCATGTCACTCATTTCCGTCAGTCTGTCTGTCTGTCTGTCCGCTAATCCTATAAGCCCGTATAAGTTGGAAAGTACCAGTCGGATTTTGATGAAATTTTTACACAAGGTTACTATTATGCCAAGGACGTAAAAGCTTTATACTTTTTGAAAATCGATCCAGTGGCGGCGGTGCTAGAGGTAAAAAACGAAAAAAAAAATAAAAAAGCTCAAATTTCGTTTCTGGACGTTTCAGACGTCCCTGATCATTTTTGGAATTTTTTTGTAGGGGTTGAAAATTGGGAGTTGGGGGCAGCAGGGGGCGGGGGCGGGTATGATTCAATTTTTGGACGCTATTATTTTTATACGTATCCTAACACAGTAATTCACTGCTACAATTAGGATTTATTTCGCAATCAGATTTCTCCGTACATTTATTCAAAAAATTTCAGATATTTTCAGATTCTAAAAAAAAATCCATATTTTCTGTTTAAATTTTGAAATTATTACAAGACACAAGGTTACTATTATGTCAAGGACAAAAAACATTTATAGTTTTTGAAAAGTTATCCAGTGGCGGCGGTGCTAGAGGCAAAAAACGTAAAAAAATCAAAATCGCTCAAACTTCGTTTTTGGACGTTTCAGAGGCTCCTGATTTTTGATATTTTTTTGTAGGGGTCTAAAATTGGGGGTTGGGGGTGGTAGAAGGCGGTAGAAGGTGGGGGGAGGGTTTTATTCAGTTTTTTGACGTTAGTACGTATCCTAAAGCAGTAATTCAACGCAGCTATTTGTATATATTCCACACTTAGATTTCTCCGTACATTTGTTAGAAAGACAATATTTCAGTTCCTAAATTTCCAAGGTCTTTAATCTTGGCGTTGCGAGGGAAGTGCCAAATCAATTTACTTGACGCCATTTTTTCGAACAAATGTACGGAGAAATCTCATTGCGAAATATATCCTAATTGTAGCGGTGAATTACTGTGTTAGGATACCTTTAAAATAAAAGCGTCAAAAAATTGAATCATACCCGCCCCCGCCCCCCTACTGCCCCAACCCCCAATTTTCAACCCCTACAAAAAAAATTCAAAAATGATCAGGGACGTCTGAAACGTCCAGAAACGAGATTTGAGCTTTTTTTATTTATTTTTTTCGTTTTTTACCTCCAGCACCGCCGCCACTGGATCGATTTCAAAAATTATAAAGCTTTTACGTCCTTGGCATAATAGTAACCTTGTGTAAAAATTTCTTCAAAATCCGACTGGTACTTTCCAACTTATACGGGCTTATAGGATTAGCAGGCAGACAGACAGACAGACAGACAGACAGAGCGACAGACAGACAGAGCGACAGACAGACAGACTGACGGAAATGAGTGACATGGTTTTTCGTGATGTACATGTCATGTGACCTCCAAAAAACATAACATCTCAATTTCGATTTTGTTCGCGATTACAATACTTCCCCGCCGATTTTTTTCGGAAATTCATTTTAATGCAGATATATCGGGAGGCTCCTTTTAAATGGAACGCACTGTAAATATACTTCTATCTGTATTTTAATTGGAAAAATGAAATAAAAATTTCTGCTACTTACAGTGGAAACGATATCCGATCTCATAATTTCTTCCACTGCAGCGTTATTTTGTTCTTCTTTCTTTTTAACTTCCTTTTTTTCTAACTCTTTTTCATTATTTTTCTCTATTGTCAATACATCCTAGAATATGTTTATGAATACAATAGTTAAAAAACTGAATTATCTTCAAGAGTTATAATGAAGTAGAAAAAAGTCAAACCTCAGTTTTTTGAAGATCGAAAAATGTCGTTTGCTTATCTTTAACTTCTGGTTTAAATGTGGGATCCTTCATCGAGTCATCGGAATCGAAATCGAGGAACGACATATCACCAGAAATCGATGGAGCGGGACTACTTTCATATTCATATTCATCTTCTGGAAAATCATTAAATCGAAAATAAAATTATTCAAAACCATAACCTAACAAATATATTTCCATTAAACGACTCCAGACTATTGTTTGAATTAACTAAATAATACATTAAAAATGTGATTTTTTTTTGAATTTTTCATAAATCAATAAATTAAGTTAGTATTCAATTTGATCACCTAATTCAATAGACATGGAATAAATAATCACCTTTATCCTCTTTTTTCCTTGTATTATCTAAGCTGTTTAGAATTTTTCTAGCTCTGTATGTTGGGCTATAATAAAATGCAGAATTATTATATTATTTCTTAAACTAAAATCATTATCACTTACATATTCATTTTTGTATTGTGGAACTGGAGACCGAAACAAAAGCCAATACACACACACACACTCTGAGCACGTTAACTAGACTAACACGACACCGAAGATCTGAAACTATTTAAGCATTGTCAAATAATATTTTCAGGATTCTAAAAATAGCTCAAGGTCAGCAATTTTTACTATTAAAGAACCGGCAACGCCGCGGGAGGCTGATTAGTCAACCAACATAGCAAACTATATACAAACGGAGGTATATTAGCAAATAAGTGGTCGGAGGCATCTTACATTTAAAAGTATAGCGAAAATCTGTATAATTTAAAAAAGACATATTTTTACCCCTCTCAGGGGGAAATGAGAAAAACAATGGACGGGAATCTTTCTGTAACCAATATACACTGAGATATGTAGTATTTCAGCCGGAGGCCAGGGTGCCTGTTTCGTATGTGGAGGCGAGAAGGTTAGCTGTGCATGTATATATATATATATATATATTATTTATATATATATATATATATATTATTTATATATATATATATATATATATATATATATATATATATATAGGTACCTTTCCAACAACTGCCTAATCACTGCAAGTTGAAATGTGGCCAGTGGAACTTTTGCTGGATTCTGTGTCAAATACATGGCATGAGCATTCAATAAGCATATATCCATGGTATGAAAAAATAGTTTTTTATACCATTTCATGCTTTTGCGCGTTGAATCAATGCTGCTGATCATCATATCACTTCGGTCGACAGCTCCCATTTGCTTGTTATATTCCAAGACATGGCTTCTGAAGGTTTTCATTTGTGACCCTATCCTTCCTTGGAAGACTGACCATTTTATTCTCATGTAGTGTAGTCAGCATAGTGACATCTCGCCGATCTTTCCATTTAACCACCAACATGTTTTCGCTGCTTCTCCAATCACATTCACCCCTCTCTAAGTTTTTTGTCTAAAATTGGCATTTCTTTCCTATTTTGTTTCACGGTCCCACATGAATTGGTTTTATTTTCACATAGAAATGTTGACAAAGTTGGAATGGTATAAAAGTTGTCAGTAAAAAGAGAATGACCCTTGTTCATGTATGGTTGTAATAGATTACTGACAATTTCACCTGTAGCACCCAATCCACGAGTATCTTCTTGTGTGCCTTTGCCTACGTACACTATAACCTATTATCTCTTCTTCTTTTTATAGCTAAATTGGCACAAATAGTCCTATTATACTGTGACTTAATGTTTGTAGTTTCAAATTTTTTTTTTTTTGTTTGTTTTTGTATAACTTGTTTTTTTTTTCACTTTTGTACGGGGTTAGATGGTGGAATAGCAGGTGCTAAATCTCGCCCCATGTAATGTACCATGTTTTTGGTCAATAAAGACGATTATTATTATTATTATTATTATTATAAAATCCAAGACGATGCCAGTCTCACAATCACACAAGACATACAGTTTGATTCTTGTTTTGATGTATTGACGAAAACTGAGGCGACCTTTGAAAAGGACCATACTTTCGTCAATAACCAAATGTTCGAAAGGATAAAACTGGGATTTGAAATTCTATTTTAGAACGGTCAAAATATTTCCAAATTTCCCCAATCGATTGTGAGGCTTTACCTCCTCATTATTAGCAAAATGAAGATAGCGATGTATCTCGCAATATCTGTTTCTTGACATAGTCTGTCCAAAAACGGGAGTGCTGAGTAAGATATCTTGGGTCCAGTACTCTTTGATATTCAGTTTCTTTACACGTGTCATAAGCAGAGTTACAGCGAAAAATACGTAAAGTTCTGGAATGTCAACGCTTTTCCACTTAGGTGCATCTCTTTGAATGGCATACCTATTTGTTTCGATGGCAATGACGTTCATAATATTTTCAGATAAAAGACTCAAAAAGAAATCTACTTCACTGCTTTGATCATTTAAACTAACATTTCTTAATCCGCTATTAGTACTATCAAATGCAAAAACTTGCGGAATAAACTCTTTGTCCGTCCATTTTATTTCTAACCTCGTACGTTCTCTAATATCTAATATCCATTCTCTCGTCCATTGCTGTCTCAGGTTCCAAGACCGGCGTTTGAGATGAATCATGCTTGTTGTCTTCACCTTCAGACACTTGCAAGTAGTCGTCCTCTGAAGATTCACCTTCCGAGCTGGGAATAAACTCGCTTCCACTGTCAGCAAAGGGATCTTCGGGCTTCATCCTCATCGGAGCTCATAAGATATTGTGAAAGATTTCGGACTTCCTCCGGGGTCAGCCCACAATAGCCCGCACCTGCATTATCTCTTTTACGCTTATTTCGTCCTTTTCGACCGTCAGATGTACTGGGTTCAGCGTTATCCATCTCGCACAATGAACAGAACAACACAAGAGTCAAACACAAACTAACTATGTCTACAATGTCCCAATAACAACACGAAACTGTTTCAAACCAGTCATAATAAGTAGATTTGCCTGCTCCACGTGTTCAACGCCGAACTCCCCCGAGCGTCCACCGTCGCCCATGTTCGACAGTGTCGGATTCTCAAGCCATTGGTCTGTGGGGAAATGCAGTGCTGAGCGGATTTAGCCGACACCGGTCCCTGTGAGAAGTTTAATTTTTAAAGGTGTCGTAAATGATCGACATTGGTTTTACCAGTTTGTTTCACCCCTGTCGTATACAGCCGACACTGGACCTAGGGACAAGTTTCTTCCTGTCGGAACTTGCCGTCAGCGGTACCGACAGGGTTAACCCAATAAAGACAATTATTATTATTAACTATGAGACATTGCCACAACACAAATGTGAATTTAGAAATAAAACAGCGCAAAGCGCTATCTATCACCAGAAACGACCACTGGGTAGAGCGCATAGTTGCTATTTGTTAGAATCTCAGTTCGCGTTTAATAGCCCAATCCATGTGACCACTAGACCACTAGTTTGCTGAAGACTCTTGTCCCGAAACCCCGTTAAATAAAGGTTCGATGTTATTATTATATTTTCACACATGTTTACTATGAAAATATCACTTATAATGAACTATATTTTGTTGCTAAGGTAACGCGCTTTTGTTTTGTGCATTCTAAATGGTCAAGGCTACATTGATATCAATACTCCCTCGTACGTTATTGTACTGATCTAGTACGTATTGTGTCTTTTACTTCATACAACATTCAAGAATGTTTTTTTTACATGTAATACCTCTGGAGCACAATAGAATCCACAAAACTGCATTTTGACTAACAGAAAGGAACTAGACATTATCCTTCAGGAGATGATATCTCTTCGGAAACAAAAACAGAAGATCGAAATACGATTTGGAATAATGGAGACGGAACTGTTGAAACAAGACAATTCTGTCCTCAAAAAAAAACTAAGGAATTATTATTTCTCGAAGCCGCCTTTGACTCCCTTTTACCGATGCGTGACGTTTTAAGTTCAGCCGACCAAAAAAAAGTCCATTAAGAAAAAATATGTCGTTAAGTATAACTAGAATAATTTACCTTGATTTTGCGTGGTTGCCGAGATCTACACCGGATCATTGTTTTCTTTCATTCATCAGGATATTCATTCATTAAAATAATTATTTTTGCAGTGATGAGATACAGCTTCTTGACTCATTACGTTTTTACGGATATGACGGGAATTTATTGTCCTTAAATTAGGGAGTAATGAGGATATTTTTACTGAAGTCATGTTATCTCTCAAAAACCACCATTAGCACAGATAGATGATTCTCACTTATGTTTCCCACTAGAGACTGGATTCATGGTATTTGACTCGGAGTAGAGGTGGGTTAGAGTAGGGTTGGGTAATCATATTGCGATGAACGGAGAAACCCGTAATGTGAGAAGTTTATGATGAAAAGCAGTGTATTACTGATAGCTTGCGTGTTTCATATTTTTTATTTGAAGTTTTTGGCTTTTTTCGATTGCAAAAGCGCTATTTGCTAATGTGCTATTTTCCAATAATAAATTAAACATAATTTCACATTGCCAAAAGTGTCTATTACAAGATCGTTGCTGATAGGGACTTCTGCAGATTGTTTCCAATACTTCTTTTATTATTTTCTGACGTCTATTCCAATTCATTTTAATACCGATATGATCTCTAATATGGTATCTCTGATGTGTTATTTAGAACAGTATGCTTGCTCTAATAAATGAATTCAATAAAGAATTCTATAACAAAATCTAGAAATAGGAGCTGACATCTACTCAACATTTAATTAGTATTAATAATCAATTGAAGATACGTCTCTTCCACTTTCATTGTGCTCATAACTAAAAATACCAAGTGCTCATTCATATTTCATACCGGGTATAATACCCCCACTTACTACTTCATGAGCAAATCACTTTAGTTAGCGGACTGGTGTCTGAATATTTAAAGTGTCTTTATAATACAGGCACTAGGAATTTTACTTCTCATTTCAAATCGGACGTGGTATATACCTGCGTAGCTGGTAGATATGACAGCTCCCATGGTGTAATCGGATGGCGAATAAACTACCAGGATCTTCTCTTTACTACCTTTTGTTTGTATCCGATTTGGAAAGCGTACCAACAAAGTCTCCTTAACTTCTTGCCATGATCAAAACACGTCCGAAACCTATGTTCTCATCACCGCGCTCAAAAATTTTGTACATTAATTTTTCTGAGATGAAAGAGACATGATTGACATACATAATGTTTCATTTTTGAAATTTTTGGCAATTACAATACTTTCTTGCCAGTAGGCGTGGGAAGTAAAACGATGTAATTTAGTATGAAGTAATGTAGATTAGAATATACCATAGGAGTAGCAATATTCTGTTGTCGAATTCATGTTTACTTACCATTTAATGTTTCGCTCTTATTTCCAAAAATTCTTCACAATTCTATATCTAGAGTCCTTCTAATAAATTATCCTAGGCTCTCCTAGTTGTATCTGTATCATACTATAGAGAATAGAGTGCGTATTGATGTTCCAGGCAAAACAATAAATTGGAATCGAAAGGAATCGTGCACGAGCCGAGGGAATTGATTCCAAGTCCGGAATAGGAATCGTGAACGAATCGGAGGAATCGATTTCGAAATCAGAACCGAAACCATGGAATCCAATCACTAAAAGGGACTATTTGGTCTAGCGATACGTTGAACTATCG